GGTGGGTTGCATGCCGCAGGCCCAGGAAACATCTGGCCTCCACCGCATACACCCGTGACAGTCCTTCGCTCACTCGCTCGCTCGATGCGCCAACCGCCTTTACTGAGCACCCCCTCGTGCATTACTGGGACTCAGGAGGAGCAGAGACAGACATGAAAGCTGCCCTCATGGGGCAGGAGAGACAGATACTGATCAGTGAGAAATGCAAAATTACATCAAGAGAAGAGACACATACAAGCATCATATTCAACATGGAAAGTCTGACCTTGTCAGGGCATCAGGAAGGTTTCCTGAGGAAGCAATGAGTTGATACTGAGGAGTGAGTTACCTGGGCCCAGAGTAACATGCAGGCAGAGGGAACGGCGGGAGCAAAGGCCCGTGGAGGGAGGAAGCCCAGGGCCCGGAGCAGGAGGAAGCCCAGGAGTTGAGAGCCTCGCTCTGGGGTAGGGCATCATGAGAAGGCCGGCAGGGCCCACACCTCCTACAGCTCGGCTGCCATATTAACGAGAGGGAGACCAACATGCTTGAGTCACAGGCTTATCTCCAAAGGTAAATGAGAGAACGAAGGCAAGGACCCAACGTGGGCCTGCCACATCGTGCAACTTGACAACGTGACTGCCGGCAGAGGCTGGCCCTGAGGAAGAGCTCCCCGCCACAGGGGGAGGAGGATGGAGGAAGATGGTGGTCTCCCCCAGCGCCCCAGATCCTGCAAGGAAGATCTCTGGGGCTTCACCCCAGTGAGCTCAGCCCTGCAGCTGCCCGGCAACCTGCTCACCTAAATGCAGGATTTCACAAGAATGGTATGCCAACATTGTTTAAAAATAAAAATGGGAACCAATTCAGTGCCCATTGACAGAAGCCTGGCTAAATCAATCATGCACTGCCAGTTCAAGGAAAGACGATCCAGTTCTGAGAAAGAATGCTGCACCGCTACGTGTAAATACGCAGAACACTGAATACAGCAGGCGCTAGATACCAAAGCGTGTGGGTGCCTGGAACGACAAACCCTACTCGACACTGCCTCTGGGGGGCAACCGACTGATGTTTCTCACGCTGATGTTTGTCTCTCGCTCCCCCACCACGCCCCCACCACTCCTCTCTAAGCATGTCCTCAGGGTGAGAAGAAAAGGAAGGAAGGTAGGAAGGAAGGGAGGGAGGACGGCAAAAGGCCGTGAACAATTGACCACAGAAGTGGAAACCCAAATGGGCAACGAGGCAGTGAAAAGATGAGCCGCCTCACCTGTGAGCAGAGACGGCAGGTGCAAAGCACTTCGCACCTGCAGGGCTAGCAGGGGGTGCATGCGAAAGGAACCCTTGCACACCGAGAGCGGAGTCACAGATAGCACAGGCGTCTTTACTTCACAACGTGGCGGCGTGCCACGGGAATTGTTGAAACATGCACTACCTGGCTATTTATTCAGGGGCACTGACCACTTTCCCCTGAGATTATGAAATTAAAAAATAACAACAGCTCGACACAACTATAGCCATACGGTGTGACTGAATCAAAATTATACCTAACTTCTCCGTCAGATTGGCAAAAGATCTATTTTTGGTGTGATGGAGGATTTTAGTAATTAGTTTGTGTGTGCCACAAGGTGAGGAATGTTGAAAATCACCACAATATGGCAACAGTCGCGTTTAAGATACCACACCTTACAATTCAGCAATTTCACACTTAGACACTGACTTTAAATTAAGGAAACATTTGTGTTATGGATGTAGGAAGTGATAATAAACAGCTAGGAAGATCAAAAAAGAGAGAGACAAGTTGACATTGTGCATTCCCTAACAGAAAATATGACCCCAATAAAAGTTATGTTTTCAGCAAAATTAAACCTGAATCTAGGCCCTGAGATTCAAACACCAATTTGAGGAAATACGGTTGACAGAGGAGCATGTCAAACAGCACTGACTAGAGATACAACAGCAAATTTCAGGTGATGAAATGACCCAGGGTCTTCAATATATAAGGTGTAAAAGAAGAGAGAGATGAAAGAGGGCCCTATAGAATGAAAGGAAATATAAGAAAGCAGGTGCATTCATAGAGACAGCAAGCAGAATGATGATGTCCAGGCTAGGGGAGAACAGAATGGGAGTTCGTCTTTAATGAGCACAGAGTTTCAGCTAGGGATGAAAAAGTTCAAAAGATGGATGGTAGTGAAGGTTGCACAACACTGTGAATGGACCTAATGCCACAGAACTGTACATTAAAAAATGGCTTGTTCAATGAGGTATCACCTCACAACTGTCAGAATGGCCGTCATCAACAAATCATCAAACAAGTGTTGGCGAGGGTGTGGAGAACAGGGGACACTAGTACACCACTGGTGGGAATGCAGACTGGTGCAGCCACTATGGAAAACAATATGGTGTTACCTCAAAAAATTAAAAATTCAATTGCCATTTGACCCAGTGATCCCACTTCTAGGAATATACCCTATGAAGCCTGAAACACCAATCAGAAAGAATATGTGTACACCTATGTTCATAGCAGCACTATTTACAATAGCTAAGATCTGGAAACAGCCCAAGTGCCCATCAGTAGACGAATGGATAAAAAAGCTGTGGTACATATACACAATGGAGTACTATGCAGCTGTAAGAAAGAAAGATCTCTTATCCTTTGAGACGACATGGAGGGACCTGGAAAGTGTTATCCTAAGTGCAATAAGCCAAGCAGAAAAAGACAAATACCACATGATCTCACTTATATACGGAACATAATGAACATAACAGTCTGAGGAATACGGTAGACCCAGAAACATGGAAGTAGGGCACAGACTGACATCCCTCAGAAGAGGTGGGGGGGAGAGGAGCTAAACAACAGAACTTACATGCATGTATGCATGACCAAACATAACAGTTTGAAGAACAGGGTAGTCCCAGAGACGTGGAAGTACAGTACAGACTGACAATCCCCAGGAGAGGAGGTGCCGGGGGGGTGGGGGGGTGGATAAACTTATATGCATGTACGCATAACCAATGGACATGGACAACAAAGCTGGGGATGGGGTGGGGAGGGAGGGGGAGGAGGGTGTCAATGGGGGAAAAAGGAGAAACATCTGTAACAAAAAAATAAATTAAAAAAAATCCCAGTAGGTAAAGAGAAACTGGAAATTTAACAAGTAACTATTATAACAGACATGTTTAAGTTAGGATCCTGGCCAGGCCACAAAGTACAGGCAGAGATCAGATCTTGAAAGATCTTTTATTCAGGGGAAATTTAAACTTTATCCTTAAGTAAATAAGAAGCTATTATGAAATCTTTTTATAAACTAATGAATGAACTTGGAAATGACTAACTAAATAAATATACTAAAGATACACCACAAAAAGGCTTGTCCAGTTGGTGTGGCTCAATGGACTGAGCATCATCCCATGGACTGAGAGGTCCTGGTTCAATTCCTGGTCAGGGCACATGCCTGGGTTGTGGGCTTGATCCCCAGTAGGGGGCATGCAGGAGGCAGCAGATTGCTATTGTACTCTCACATCGATATTTCTCTTTCTCTAAAAATCAGTTAAATATATATATGCACACACACATATATATATATATATATATAAATACATTATTTTTTTAATTATCCTCACCCAAGGATATTTTTGCATTTAACTTCAGATGGGGGGGGGGGGGGCGGGGGCATCAGTGTGAAAGAGACACATCGACTGGTTGCCTCCCACATGACCCCAACTGGGGCTGAGGACAAACTGCAACTGAGGTCCGTGCCCTTAGCAGGAACCGAACCTGGGACTCTCTGGTCTGCAGGCCGATGCTCTAACCACTGAACCAAACCGGCCAGGGCTAAAAAATTATTTTTAAAAAAGCATGAGACAATAAGAAATTTGAACACTGATATTTGATGGAATAAAGAAATTATTGGTAATGGAAAGATGACAATGATATCATACATTTTCATATATACTGAGATATCTGTAGATGAAGTAACACCCAGGATTTGAATCAAAATAATACAAAAAGGGGAAGTGGGCATGGGCTAACTTCAAAAAGACTGACCAGGATTAATAATAATTCATCTTGACAATGGATAAGTAAGATCCGTTATACTAATCTGCCTACCTCCGAGCATTTAACATCTGACATAACAAAAAAGTTTTTAAATGAAAAAGAAATTATTATAAATGTGTTCAAAAAAGACAAGAAGCTCTCATCATGGTTTGTAAAAGCAAAATACTGGTAACAGTCTTTACATCAGTGGACAGGCAACTAGATGAAAAACATTGCCGTCCTTCATTCAGGAGAGAAATCCAGAGTCAAGTAAGTGAATGAACCAGATTAAGAGTTCTCAACGAGGGTGACTGTGCCCCCCAGGGGACATCTGGCAAAATATCTGGAGCTATTTTTGGGTGGGGTGCTCCCGGCATGTAGCAGGTAGAGATCAGGGATGCTGCTCAACATCCCACAATGCACAGGACAGCCCCCCCAAGTAATTATATGCAGCCCAAACAATCAAGAGTGCCATAGCTTAACACCTCTGTATTACACCTGTACGGGATAGTCCTCAAACCACAGTACTGAATCAAAAACAAATAAATAAAAACAGGGGGCAAAGAGATATGTACAAGTAATACCATGGAGGTAAAAGTTACACAAAACCAAGACTGTTTATTGCTCATGGGAATCTATCTTATAGTCAAGTGTGAAACTATGAAGGCAAAGGCCACATACCAGCTTCAGAATATTGACAACCAGGGCAGAGGCATGAAATGCTACAAAGGGGCTTTGATAGAATGTGGACCATTTACTTTATTCTATCCCTCCTACCTAAAAAACCCACAGATGTGGTTAAGGTTAATGTGCATAAAATCTAGATGGTGGGTACTTGATGCTCACTCTCTTAGCCTCTGAACTTTCCCATGCCCTGGACATTGCTAACGATGAAGAAACTACACAGTGGGGTTGAGGACAGGAGGGCTGGTGGACTGACAGAGACTGGGCAGAAGGGCAGGGCATGGCGTTCCTGAGAGGTAGCACTCACCGGCCCCCGGAGGTCAATGAGCTCCTGCCTCATCTGGGACACGAGGGCTTCCTTGGCCACCAGGGCCCTGTGCAGGCGCTCGTTGAACTCGATCAGCTCGCCGTGCATCTCTGCCACCTGGAACACACAAGCACCAAATGTGAGGCTCAGAGGCAGATCGCCCCAGTGACTTTCCCCACCTCCTCTGGGCCCACCATGCATCAGCAAGGCATCAGGAGACTGTTGGAGGTATAACACTGAAACCCACGAGCCACACAGATCCACCCGAACATCGAATACATTTTTTTACTTGGTTGAATTTAACACGATAGAATCGACAGTCCACATGTTTATGATCAGAGCATGACTGCATCAGGTCATTTTTGTACCTTAGGCTTTTATTCTTAATTAATGAACACTTTAACTAAGAGAACATGAAGGTTTTCCTGCAAATCTGAGTTATGTCTGTGAAGAATGTCCCTGCTAGTGGCACAAGTTGAATAACTGACCACTTCTGTTCATCAGGGTCTCGGTTCTGAAAACCAAGAGAACAGAACCGCAGCCTCGTTGAGACAGCGGTGGCGAGGGTGGCAGACACAGCTGCAGCAGCGCGACTGCCCTTTGGCCACTGCTTATTTTACGCCAGGAAAATGCTCCTGTGCACGCCTTGGTCTTCCTCGCGCCGCTCTATGAGGCAGGTGGCATCGTTCCCGCTGTGTGGGAAGAGAAACATGGTGTAGTTTAAGGCTCTTGGTCAAGGTTATGTAGCTAATAAAGGACTGTCTCTGGAGCCCAGGCTCTTGACCCCTGGGCTACCTGCCACAATCCTACGGCTCCGCTGTGCCCCGATGTAACCCAATCAGGCCTGCGGTGAGCCCTCAAATTTTTCCACATTCATGCAATACTCTTGAGGTAGACATAGGTAACCTGTGATTGATGTGCAGAATGAACAACAGATGCTTCCAGCTGAAACTTGAAAAAAACACAAAGATCTCCTAAGTGGCCAACGCACTTATGATACTCTATATAATGCATCAATAGCAGACTGTTTGCAACACGTACTTCACATCACATATAAAAACGTACTGTCAGCCTAACCAGTGTGGCTCAGTGGTTGAGCGTCGACCCATGCACTAAGAGGTCGCCAGATCGATTCCTGGTCAGGGCACATGCCCAGGTTTGGGCCAGATACCCAGCGGGGGACATGCAGGAGGTGGCCAATCGATGTTCTCTCTTATCGCTGTTTCTATCTCTCTCTCTCTCTCCCTCTCCCTTCCCTTCTCTCTAAAATCAATAAAGAAAAAAAATTTTTTTTAATCTTAAAAAAACATACTGTCAGAATTAAGAAGAGACATTAGGAGAGGCTTTTTAAAAAGCAGGATCATTAACCTGAGTCCTGATGCCTCAGGAAGAATAAAGAGGAGCCCTCCCTTTTTAGATAAGTTGTTATATAAAGGCTAACAGGCCAAAAAGGAAATACAAAGAATATTAACATCCATCTTAGTCCATTCTTTCTACCTCTCCTGACTTTTTAGTTTCCTAATAAGGCGCACACTTTCATTTATTAGTCAGAATAACCACTTAGATTATTTAAAAGAATTAAAACTCTTCACGTGACACTGAAGGGAGCCATGGCACAACCAACCTGAAATGCACGAGGCTCCCAGGGGTGACCCTGGCGCTCAGTCACGGCTCTGGAAGCCCCACGCTGGGAAGAGTCCCTTTCTGTGCTCGGGAGCCCACCCCTTCCAAGCCAGAGTGACGTGGAAGTGCACGAGACACTGCCATGAACAAAGGAGAACAAGTCATGAGCCTCTAAACAGGTTTTCTCATTGTGCAGACCTGACATTAACAGTCTCCAGTTGCCTTTTTCCTTTTGTGTAAAAACAGCTTAAGATGATTTCTTTTGGCCTTGCACAAATAAATACGGTTATCACCAATAGTGCCTGTGCAGATTCTCCACACCATGACCACATCACCCCTCCGGGAGCTTCCTGGGGGCTGAGAACCGCTACCCTCGGTTAGCAGGAAACACACGACTGGCAATATTGCTGCTAAATACCTGCTAATAGGCCCCCACAAAGTTCAAGCTTTAAATAAACGCCACTCTTATTTCCAAAGCAAATCAGGCTTTTGCTTTGTTTTTGTTTTTATTTTGCTTTGCAGTGGGAGCCAGAGTGTTAAAAAACAGTTTTCCATAAATGCATAAAACATTGAAACATCCCAGCCTAGAGTGGTGTTTACTGCGAGCTGTCAAAATCCCAGTTCTCTTTCGTAGGCAGGAAAGTGCCTTGACCAGGCCCGACCAAGCTTTCCTCCTGCTAGGGAATGAATGGGAGGGGGGAGGGGGAGTCCTATGGGACTGACGAGACAAAATTCGATTAAATAATTTCCAGCAGCCATTAACACCACAATGCTCATTGCTCTTAAGCTCAGCTCTGAAATTCTGAATTCTTACATTTGCCTACATGTAGTCATTGATGTAAACAGCTTTCATCTCACACAAACCACACTAAGCTTAATGTTCCTCAGATAACTCTTTCCAAATTCTGGAATAACTAGAAATGAACTGAAACGGAGTGAGCGAGCCTCAGAAGAGGAATCTGAAAGCACACAAGAATAAAGGCAGGCCACACCGTCCCTGCCGGCGGGAGCTCCAAGGCTCCGAGGGCCCTTACAGGTTCATCTTCAGCCCTTGTTTCAGCAGCTACAGAGAATCGCAGGGAACAGAGCAGAGAGACAGCGGGTGCCCTCCAGCCCATTCTCCCCGCAGCAGGCAGAGTGATCTTCCCAAAACAACGTGGGATATTGTCACCTGCTGTTTAAAACCTTCGATGCTTCCCACAGTCCTAAGGATAGAATACAAACGCCTTCAAGAGCTGGCACCTGCCTCTCTAACCCTCCTTCTGCCCCTCCCTGCCAGTGTCTCACTAACTTCCACTCAGACGGCTATGTTCCAAAAACGTGCTGGAGACAAAGTGGAGACTGGCACACCCAGCAGAAGAAAGTGCAGGGCAGGGGCTCCGAGGCTGATGGGAGGCTGTGGAGAGAGGTGATTAAGGGCTCAGACTGGTGCAAGACAGGCCTGTGCTTGATCCCAGCACAATGTGCACTGGTACAAGTCACTTAACCTCTGAGCCTGAGGCGATCCACCTGCAAACTGGGATGAAACACCATCCCCACGCACAGGCCACTGTGTGCAGTAAATGGGCTACTGCTCGGAGGAGGCACAGCACCGTGCCAGGGCCTCGCAAGCGCTCAGGGAGAGAGCTGGTTTACCTGATGGCGGGTCACATTCAGGGACATCAAGGGGAGGAGGACAGGCGGGGCTCAGAAGCCAGAGGAAAAGTGGGGGGTGTGCTGTACCAAGGGGCTGGGCAGCTGGGGGAGGCTCACTGTCCCCAAGTGGAAATGTCACCAGCAGAATTGTTAGCCATATGCCAAGTGTTGTTCTTGGTGCTGGGGGTGCCGGGGGTGGGGCAGAAAAGTCACGGGGTTCACATCCTAAAGATCAAATCATTTAGAGCTTGAAGAAAGGAAGACTAAGAGAGAAGACAGGGTGTCGGGAAGGCCTCCCCCGAGAAACCACCGAGGAGTCACTTCTCGAATTGGCCTCAGCACGTGCCAGGCGCCCGCCCCCCAATCAGATGTGCCCCAACCCTGCACAGGCGCTCACTGTGCTGCGTCCCCACCTGCGTCAGGGCCACTCGGAGAGTCCCCCACATTGCTTTCTACTCTCAGCACTTCGTTCCTTGAAAACTAATCTGAAGGCAGTCAAGGAGGAGGCGCCATTTGACAACACTAACGACAGTGACAAATCAAAAGCAAATGCCAGTGGAGGGACACTAATCTCAGGATGCAGCTCAGACACAGACACCCTGGGCGAGGGCTGAGAAGGAGCCCTGACTCTGGGAGGCCCAAGGCCCCGGCTGGAAGACGTGGTCCCTGAGCTGCGCTCGGGGCGTGCACAACTCATACTTAATAAGGTGTAAATGCTGATCGGTCACCGTTTGGGTTTCATCCTTAAAGCTGGTGAGAAGACGGTAGACATTTTTAAGAACTTTAAGTCACAGGGCTGTGTGGCAACATCTATCAGACTTTTAAATCCTTCATCTGTGACTTGGCCAGTCCCTGCTGGGGAGTGACCCTGCCCCTGTATCTACACATGTGCTCAAAGCAGGAGTTTACATCCAAATGGCCGAAATTTAGCAAAATGCCCAACCGCTGGGGGCTGATGAAATACATCAGGGTCAGCTACTCTCGCCCAAGGCCCAGCCCCTGGCAGACATCACCAGCCAACCGCAGGAAGACACCAGGTGCCACAGTGTGCTGGCCTACACGATGACACCTGTTTGGTGTCCCTGGCACTGGATGGAGGGACAGCATCAAGACGGTGACATTTGAGTTGAGCTGTGGAAGATGATGCCTTTGGAACTTCTGAGACTGAACAATCCGTCCCAGCTGGAGCATCAGGGAAGATGATCTCCAAAAATAATGTGGCTGTGGAAAAGCTTTTAAGTCTGAAAATCCCAGAATTATCATAATTACCTGCCAAATCATGAAAGGATTATAAATTTTAAAAAGAATGCCTCTGGCATTTCCTTTCATACCAGAATGTTCTATCTAATCACATCCAAGTAAATCATGCTTTGCCCTCCTTCGGCTCCCTAATTAGACACTTCCAGATTAATTAGATCAAGACACTCCCACCCCGAAACTGGAATGGCAACCGAAGCTCTTTTTGGTCAGATACCCAAACTCTCCTAGAATGTTCACTTCGATGCTTCGAAACCTACCTAGCTTTGATAGAGTGCACAGGCTGGTTCTGGTCCCATTTACCGCTATGGGAGGGACCCGGAACCTCCTTCTGGGATGCTGCTGCACCTGCCTCGGTGAAGCCAAGGCCTGACCACCGTCCACCTGCCTTGACACACAGTGGAGCACCAAGCGCACGTGTGCCCGGCCTCTCCAGGCACCACATCTGTCAGCTCACGTGACCCTGCCACCCTCCGGCAGGTGGGCCTGCCTTCCCAAGGACGAGGCCTGGAGGCTCCGAGTCAGGGAGGGGCAGGGCAGGACGGCCCACTGCCTGTGCTCTTCGAACTCCATCTCGGGGTGCGGTAGAAAGCCAAGCCCTT